TAGGAGTATATATATGCTGATATATTTTCATATCATTCCAAATAAATATTATATATGTATATACTTGGTGGAAAAATTTATTTTTTAATTGTTTCTAAATTCATTTAAATTTTTAAAATTAAAATTATTTTTTTTTATTTTTAATTTCACTTTTATATTTTTAAAGTCAATATACATAACCTATTAAAATTTCATGTGTATGTCATTAATAATAAAAATTTTATATCAGTTTTAAGTTTTTACTGACAGGCCATAGTACACAATTAATTTCACTATATATTCTCTATATTTGTTTCTCAGTACTGAACTTTCCACTGTGTGACAATCAATACAAATCATATGTTAATCTAAAAAAACCTTCAAAGATGACTTTACGGTTTAGTTCTTGTCAAGGGTTGACCTGCATGTTTTTGAGAGGCTGAATTGTAAACAAAACACCAGGCAACGGAACACAGAATTCACTTCCGGATCATCACCATGACCTTATTACTCAATGTGCACTTTCGCCGAAATACACACAGACAACCACACCATAAGCTCACATTTTAAAGAATAAACAATTGCCTTTAAATCCTTACCAAGAATGCCAAAAGCTGACTCTAGTATCACCACCAAATTTGGACCGGAAAAAGTGATCTAAAAATAGACTGGGACTACATTCATGGGTACTGAACCGGATTTTATTTATTGTGTACTGATTCCATCCACTCACGGGAAAGGCTAAGGGAGTAAACCCCGGCAGATAATTCGGAGACGAAGGCCCTTAGGCGACATTTTTCGTTTCCATGCGAACACCAGCTGCGTACAGAGAGGGGGGGATCTGCTGCATGGGAAACAGCTGATATTATCCAAACTGCCCAGCCCTCGAGTCTGTTCATCGCTCAATACATGCAGACGATATCAAGAAAATAAATGAATAATTTTATTGTGCCATGGTAAAAAAAAGTAGCGTAAATAATGCTAATTGTCCAAATGTTAAAATATGTTTAATATTCAAATTTACCAAAATCAATATTTGTTTTTGCCACCAAAATTAAAACGCATCACAATGTACATTAATGGTATTTACTGAGGACTAGAGGTTGTTCTGATCTTATCTTTCGTCAATGGTGAAATCCAAGATTATCCGAATGTAAATGGCACTGCCGAGCCATCATTTATCTAAACGTCAAATTCGGCGAACAATATTTGCATTTTTTCCAATATTTCACAAACTCAACAAAGTGTGTCGAGTTGTTTTGAAAATTAAACTATTCTTGATTACGACTGGCTTAAGTTGGAAATTAGCAGACGCAATTAGGATAAAGTAGCATGAATGGAACTACCGATGGGTGCGTACTGGTGTCTTCCCTTGTGTTATATTGTAAAAGGTTAGTCTCATTTTTTTTTAACGAACACCTGTGGTGACTAGTGTTATTTTTTTGTGTTATTTTTCTTAAATATATCCATATTATAGTTTACATGTATATAATACGAATATTAGCACAGCATGACGTTAAAAATGACATCAGAACATCAGGAACATGAAAGGCGTAACGACCGAGGCATCCCAATGTGTTTCAATGAAATTGCACTAAACAAGTTGGTCAAATAATATTGGTACAATTCCGAAACTCGTGAAATAATTTCAATATTGGCCAACGCTCGCAAATATATAAATTCTTCAAGTAGTTTCATAAATTTCATTCCACACAAGTCCCATGCAAAGTCCATTGGCTCTAATATTTTACATACAGGTATATATGTAGCACAAATCCCATTTGATTTGAAGGATATGTTGTGTACTGGTATAAATGTATCACTATTTTTCACGTGTGTATGACCAATGTCCGTCACAAAGCCTTTTTTTAACAATACGGGTTTTTGCTTCACTATGCATTAGCTCAGCGACCATAAAACTAATGTACTGGCAGTTGGAAGCACTAATGTACGAGAAGGATCGCCGATTGCAAGTGGAAGGGCGCTACCAATCACTGCCATCTCACGTCTGTGTGCGTGTGTTCGAGTCTCGTACTCGGCAAGTGTTGGCATGTGAGAAAGCCTGCTTTTAGTTTTCCTTGGGTCTGTGGTTCTTACCGCGGTTTTCCCATGCTCTTCCTCCACCACTTATACTGGCCGCCATGTATGGCAGTTAACATAACAACAAAAACTAATTTACTGCCAGCTACTTCTTTAGAAGGTCACGCCACATATCTTTGGCAATTTGAGATATTAGTCCACGATTCGTATCCATGTAGGGTAGAGAGAAATCGAATCCTCCGCCAAATCTTTAGACTTATTTCTTGATTTCTACTGCCGTATAAAGTATAAAATAAAATGAGTAAATGTTTAACTTTTTGGCAAGTTCCTTGATTGGCTTTAAAGATTTGTTGGCTAGGATATCACCAGCGTACTTCCTTTTAGCTACACGAGTTCGTTCGTTTCTTTGTAACTGATACAGTGCATTTTTTTGTCTACATTGTTTCTCAATCTATACAGTTTTGCAAACTTCGAAACATTATCAAACAACTTTTGCATATATTTATGTGAATTGGTCATTAAAGTAGTATCACCATCCACCAGTAAGACATTTAGAAATTAAATATCCGCGACCCTTAGACCATAGAGAGTTTGTCTTATTTCGTTTATCAAGTCGTCAGTGATTTTCAAAAAAACAAACAAAACAACAAACAAAATGCAACCCTCGCTACACCTCTGATACGAGTTTTTGAAGATATGCCAATTCGTACCATATATTCCAGAATTAAACAATTTTGTAAAATAGCATCATGATCAGCATTGTTAAATATCCTGGAATTATTTAGAAAAATAATATATAGGGGGTATTTCTCTCCATGAACTGACTTATATCTTCCTGTATATAACAAACTGCTACATTTACTACATTTACTACATTTACTACATTTACTACATTTACTACATTTACTACATTTACTTCCGAAACATTGTTGCAAGGGATGAGGGGAAAAATATGTTGATTCATGTGCGTAATTTCATGAAGCAAACATTTTTATCATTGTTTTGAAAGACGCGTACGATTGAAATATATCGGTATAATTAATATTTCGTATCTAATTTACCATTCTCTTCATATTTAAATAGCGTTATTACTACTGAATCATTTCACACTTCTATATTGTTCTAAATAAAGAGTTAATGAGCTATTATTGGCAGAGAGTACATGCTCCGCGACAATTTCAACGTGACCGCAAGTTTTTTTTTTCCATGTGTAATGATTTCTGTACCAGAATAATTTCTTTAACGTTTGAAATATCATACACTACTTTATATCTAGCTTTTCTTTTCAAATTTAGAAATTTCTAATTCATATATGCTTTTATAATCTATAGGATGTAAAGACACATGAGCACAATTCAAGCCACATAGTGGTGAGTAACAAGTAGGTATTAAAAACCTTAATATACTTCGTATATCCATGAACAAAGAGAAGCATTATCCACCAAATTACACAAAATCCTTGCAGAATCTAAGTTCATGATTCGTTTTTGTATGATTCATGCTCTAGCGAATCTGTGTTATCCGAATCTATGTGCATGAATACCGTGGGTGATCTTGATATCTTTCTCGAGATTAGTGATGCCATTGGCTTTTTCAGTTTAGTCAGCACAGAGAATCCTAAGAATATTGTCTTAATTTCTTTTCGATAAAAAAAAAATCGAAAATATCGAAAACTCCTTGAAATCTCATTGACTGAGAAAAAGACGAAGATTTCATCTAATTTGCCAACGTGTCTTGAATCTATAGATTTAAGCAGGTGCATTTCCATTTTTCCTGTAATTAATGATTGGGACCGATACATACTTTGACTCTTTATCAATGATATTACAACGTGAGCCATTGAGAATAATATTGTGTCTCCATGCTTTACTATCCCTCTTTTTTATATATATAATTCGGTTGCTCGAAGCCGAGGTCATGTTTCCTCTCAGTTTTAGAGCACGATATGCACGCTCCAGCACTTCTAGAGTGTCTATACGCAACCAAGAACATTAATCAAATACGCAGACTCTCAGACTATAAGAACATTGAACATCATACGCAGTCTCTCAGAATATAAGAACATTAAACATCATACGCAGTCTCTTAGACTCAAATAAGAATATTAAACAACATGTAGTCTCTAATACTCAAACAAGAACATTACAAACCATACGCAGTCTCTTATACTCGAACATTACAATATAAATCATAAAAAGAGTCTCAACTACTACTACTACTACTACTACTACTACTACTACTACTACTACTATTACTAATAATAATAATAATAATAATAATAATAATAATAATAATAATAATAATAATAATAATAATAATAATACCAGACAGACAGGCAGAGAGAAAGTGATGGTTCCTAAAACAAACAAATGAGCTTACAAACAAAAATATATTCAAAAAATTAAAGTAAGAAAACAGCACTAAGTCACAAGGGTGTGCTTGCAGTCGAAAAAGTTATTTTGTCTAGGTTCAACAGCCAGTGCATTCCAGGTCGCTGGAACCTGGTACTCAAAGGTTGTCTGTAGGACTTTGCTAGGACAGTGGGAATAATGTGAACTCGAGTTTCAGAAGAGGCATGTAAGTACATGTACATGATCTAGAAATGTGTACACGTGGGGGATGTCCGAAAGGTATTTTGGACTTCAGGCAGTCAACGAATTGTAGCATAGAGAACATAATTTTTCTTTTATTCTGGTGCGGACCCGTAGCTAGTGGAGGGTACAGAGTCGGGGAGGAGTTCTCAGTTGCAGGTATACTAAGGATTAGGCCGATAAAATGACCCCTCACTGTTGGAACTATTGACTTTTTGGTTAGGGGCTGATATCACATATTCATTAAAAGCTGCAATTATCTTCATTCAGTTTTGGCTGCACACATCGGTGTACATTTTATACACTTACCGGTATTTCTTGCGACTGTGAAGCTATCGTAGGTTGAAGGGTTTTTTTTTGGTGACATTCACATTACATTTCCGGGGCACCGCTCTGGTGGCCTAGTGGTTAGAGCGTCCGCCTCGGATGCGGGAGGTCGTGGGTTCGAACACAAACCAAGTCATAACAAAGACTTTAAAAATGATACTAACAGCTGCCTCTCTTGGCGCTCAGCATTAAGAGGTAAGTTTTAGGACTGGTTGGCCTGGAGTCATGATAATGTGACTGGGTGAAACATCATGCCACATATCTGCTAGACATCACTATAAACTGTCAAACTGCAGACATCGTAGCGATATGACTGAAGAATTGTTAAAGCTATATTAAAATTTTAAATCAGACAAATCATACACATTTCCGGAGCAAATCTTTGTTTGTTGACTTGTAGGTCCAAATGGAATAGCACAACCATCTGTCCTTTGGCCATTTTGAATTTCGCGCTAGATATGGATGTTATGTGACCGTGGTATACACAGGTTTGTTCCGGAAAAATTTGCATGCAGCAAAATTGCACAGTTTATGAACAAGTGACATTAGACCCACATATCATCCACCAGTATGAACACAGATTTGGGGGATTGATTTATCGGGCAATCTATTGATGATCCGAACAGCTGTATTTTCAAAATTTTATAGTTTCTGTGGCAGATACTGAGACGAACCAGACGGAAGAGAATTAAAATAGTCTTGGAAGTACTAAAGAACACACAAGTGTTTCAATTGTATTAACTGGTGCGTATCAGCTCCAGATATGCAAACTTGAATATAATTATGAGAGAGAGAGAGAGAGAGAGAGAGAGAGAGAGAGAGAGAGAGAGAGAGAGAGAGAGAGAGAGAGAGAGAGAGTACTGTCAAGAGTTACGATAGGTTTCGTATTGATTGTGTGAATTTAATGGTTGTGTTGTTGATATGTATTGTTTGAGGACTATTTTGGAGACCAGATTTGCACGATTTTCTTGTAAGACAATACTGTAGCAACGTCAATGAAAAATCATCTGTTCCGAGGGAGCATTGATAACAATGCTTTTTTAAAAAGAGGGACATATTTAAGAAAATATTTATACCATTTCCATTTAGAACGCAATGCATATCATATGGAGTGCTTTAGTTCAAACTAAGTGTCTACATATTTATCATTTAAGGGTAGCGATAATAAGATTTAATATTTACTAATAAGGTAGCTGCCATGTTATTGGTCGCATTTCTGATATTTTCATTTAGCTCATGGCCAATGATGTTCTCTGTGCCCTGTATTTATACTTGTTTACTTGGATTTATGAAACTTGGGGAGGAGATACAGTTTGGTGGGTGCTACACACTTGATGTTTTCAAAGTGGGTCACACTGAGCGATATTTTACTTTTCTGTGACTTTGGGTAAATGTTGTGTTTTATGTTTATCTCTCAAATTATGTTGATTTGTACAACACTCTTATAACAAAATAACGCTATGGTCACATATATTTCACATTTTGCTAGCTGATATACCGCTCCTGTGGCCTTGTGGTTGGAGTGTCCGCCTCGGATGCGAGTGGTCGCGGGTTTGAACCTCAGACGAGTCATAACAAAGACTTATAAAAATGGTACTAACATCCGCCTTGCTCGACGTTCAGCATTAAGAGGTCAGTGTTATTACTGGTTGGCCTGGTGTCAGGATAATGTGACTGGGTGGGTCATCATGCTACCTTTTTGAGGCATGATGCCCCAGTTCTAGACATCACTATAAACTGCCACACTGCAGAGATCGTAGCGATATGACTGAAAAATTGTTAAAGCGACGTTAAAACTCCAAAACACACACACACACACACACACACACACACACACACACACACACACTGTTTTATATTATTATAGTTTTTGTAACTCCTAGTACATGAATTGATCAAACTTTCCTAAGTTTTAGTCATGGCTCTAAATTGTAATAGTTATCTTTAGTTGGTGGCTCACGTGCATAGGGTCTATTATAAGATATTCAATAATGTAAATTACGTAGGATCTATAAATAGATGCTCACGTACGTGTGGACAGTTATTAAGAATGAAATTATTCGTAAATATGTTTTTGAGATTCAACCTTTTCTCACAGGACATATCAGTGAAGTGGTTATCTTAGGAGATATGTTGATTCTCATTGTATAAGTTAGGTTACGTGAACAGGTATTTTAAAATATTAGAATGAGTTGTAAGATCTGTCGCGTTGGGAATATTTCGACATTAGTCGCAGTATACATTAGTGGCAATAGACTCTTGAATGTGTATATCAGGAGAAATTTGAGAAATCAGATTCATTCCTGTTTTGGAAGCATTCTTATTTCTTACAATCCTATTTTAACATCAAGCCTGCAGACATTTTTTTTTGTACTTAGGTAGAGTTTGAGAGGAAAAAAAACATTTGTTTGGAGTGTTAATGGAAAACATAAACTGCTCATTTTTTGGACTATAATGTTATTCTAGAATTATTGTGAATTAGTCAAAAGAGTTCTGGACAACACCATTTTGACAACTCCTGTTTTGAAGTTTATATGGAACTTTTTATTCTTTTGGACTTTAATATAACTCTTTCAGGATGGTTTTGAATTCACGTCATAACATTATTAGTTGCTCTCATATTTTCATTTAAAACTGTGATATTAAATTGTTAAGTTTTACAAAAGGTGTTGCTTTTTGCTTCTTTCTGTTATGATCATAGAGTCGTAACATTAGCTTAGGTTAAATTTGTGCATGAAGGTTATAACGAAATGGGATTTGAGCAACCCGTTTACATATTATATTAAAGTTACCCATGTTTCAGATTTCACTGACTTTTGTTAAACATTTGGCTGCTCTTGCTTTAGATAGCACGCAGTTCTTTCTTGCATCATGCTCATTCATGTCCATATAAGAGTTTAACATGTCGTATGCATAGAGTCCTTCCTGTCATATGCATAGAGTCCTTCCTGGAATCATGAAACAGTGCAAGTGAATGCATCTTGACAAGTTCAACATTCTTTCTGCAAATTTGTATCGAAAGTCGATTTATTGGTTGATCTCCAGTCATTAAACGTGATAATTGGATACATCCCTTTTACAGCTACGCCCAGGAAACCAAAGTGTATCACTGTGACCTAATTGATATGCTTTGTTAATTATGTGTTTGTGATCACACAGATTTATCCATGCTAGATCTATATACAGCCAAACCAACTCAGTTGGAATTAGACATTAATATGTTTATTTAATGTTAAACTTTCTTTATTTATTATTTTGCATCGTATATTGTAAAATGTCATCCTCAGCAGGTTAATGGTGTATTGTACACGTGAACAACTACAGGAATGAGAGGAGTGGACTTTTCCTGTCATCGTTACTGCTCCAGAACGGATGGTTGTATTGACACGCGTTTTTGAAGTAAACTATTCTTTCATATGTACAGTTGGTCCCAAAAAAATATAGGAGATACGACCATTAAAATGGCAGCTGTCTTTAAAATCATATTATTGCTATTCTTAAATGATAAATCTGTAGACATGGAGTTTGCACTAACACGCTTCTTGTGATATGCACTGTGTTCTAAATTAAAATAGTGCCAATCTGTTGTTAGATATGAACGTCTTTAAAAAGTATTGTTATCTTTACTCATTTGGAACAGGAATATTTCATCGACATGAGTTGTCTGTGAAGCACATTAATATATATGCAAGAGAATGCGATTTTACCAAAACAAGGCCTAGTGGTCAGAGCGTCCGTCTCGGATGCGGGAGGTCGTGGGTTCTATCTCCGGTCGAATCATACCAAAGACTTACAAAAATGGTACTAACATCTGCCTCACTTGGCACTCTGCATTAATAGGTGAGTGTTAGGACTGTTTGGCCTGGTGTCAGAATAATGTGACTGGGTGGAACATCATGCTTCATGTCTGCGGCATGATGCCCCGAGTGCTAGACATCACTATAAACTGCCACACTGCAGACATCGTAGCTATATGACTGAAAAATTGTTAAAAGCTACGTTAAAAATTATAAACACCACCACACCACACCAAAAACAATGCCACTGTGACAGAAGTTTGATGTTTCAGTGACTTCGGTTTAGTGTAAGTTTCTCATTGTTAGTCCAAGAGAAAAGCAGCTTGATATGTAGATATGTCTTTGTGGGTACAATTGATATGTCTTGGTTGGTACAATACCATCGTATCAAAAGTAGATCAAAACATGCTTCCGTGACTTTAGCAAAGTTTTGTGTTGGGTCAGTTTTTTGGACTTTGTGGCACTTTGTATGTAGATTGAGTTTGTTGAGTACAACACCATATCATAAAAAGCGGGTACATGTGACTTTAATTTTATGCTTCAGTGACCTGGGTTCATTATTGTGTTGGGGTCCTTTTCTCATGCATATATTACTGCAGCTGTTATACATAAGGGGATGTCGGTGCATTTATGTTCTTGGAACCATTTCTGGTTATGTTTTAATGAGACAAAATGTTTAAGTGAACCGTTTCCGGTTATGTTAGAATGAGACAAAATGTTTGAGCGAACCATTTCTGGTTATATTTTGATGAGACAATGCTTGAGCATAACTTTACAGTGGTCAGATTAACCTGTCGACCAGTTTGATACCTGTCGCTTGAATTAAAATTTTAAAATATATTTATTAAATAAAATCGAAAAAAAAAATTTAAATAAATATATTTATTTATTAGTGAGCTATGTTGTTGCTTCATTATGAACTAAAAGTATCAACAGCGGTATTGAATGCTTTTAGATTTGGTTGGGCCTTTCTGAAAGGGGAGGGAATTTTGTTTACAAACGTAAATCAGTTCACATTGTCATGGAATCCAACCATTTTCATTATCCTAAAGACAAATTCAGTAGTTCCTTCATAAATATGCATGTTATAGGTTACACTAACCCAAACTTTATACCTTTAGATAATCATTGGCTTTTACCGAAGTAACTTAGCAGATAGGTGTTACGCTTTATCAGGGTTCCACTTCACAAGGTCGGCGGGACATCATTGTATTACATTGTCCGTTCGTCTACCATTTGATTTCAGCAAGAATTGTTGGGTTTTAGCGAAATTTCGCATGCATCTCTATAGCAACAAGGACTTAGTTTGACTTGCAAATTTCTACATCATTAGCACTGTTGTGT